GGGTTTCTTATTTATTTTATTTTTTTGTTCCGAGTTGAAGGAAGCTTGGGTTGTCTGGTGTCAGCGGGGAAAAAAGTGTAATCGTCGCACAGATGCGGGGGAACGTGGTCCAGATCGTCTTCATAACCCAGCTGGGGACTTGAGCAGCTAATTTAGGTTTTAGGCACTGGCTGCCTGGGTGAAAACATAAGCTTTCAGGCTGGAGGGTGCTCGTTTAGGGTGATTCAGGGCTACTCCGTAGCGCCTGAGTTGGAGAGGCGCCGGCCGCAGCCCAGCGTTGTGGGGAAGCGACGGTGGCTTGGCGGGATCAGGTCCCGTTGTCTAACGTGGCGTTGGGAAAACACACACAGTAAAAAGCATAACCCAGGGATGATACAGCGTCATCGTAAAACATCAGAAATGGGGAGGGAGGCCTAGAATATTTTTCATACTTAGTACTAATAAATAAGGGGCTCCAGGGCCCGTTGAATTCACGGACTCATCAGCTGCATAAGAAATACAGTGAGTTGAGATGCTCTGACAGCAGCAAGCAACAAATCCCGTTTGTTGCACAGTTTCCACGGAGCTGCCTATATGCAAACAAACTTGGCCCATTACATGCAAGTAAATGCAACAAGAATGCTTGAATTATGTAGCTTAAGATTTCTATATGATTGTTTCGGGGACTTTGCTACTAGTTTGTGCACACCTTGTTAATGAAACTTCACAGGTGAACTATCTGCTGCAGTTCTGAAAGTAGTTTTCTCTGAGTATCTTTTTATAATGGTGCGTAAGACTTGATCGCAATCTACGTGAAAACAGTTTGAAAATTGTTTGAGGCTGGGAAAAGGTTTAGAAGAATCACTGTCTTATTCAGCACAGCAATTCCTGCACTACTAATTCATGGCTTAAATGATTTGTTTTCGTCTCTTTCAGTGATATGGAAATAAGCATTGTTTTTCCTGTGTTCTAAAGTTGTCCTGTAATGCTACCTTTCCATTTCTATTTGCAGAAGCTGGTGTGCAAGCAAATAGGAACAAAAGAAAGAAACAGATTTTGAAAATTGGACATGGCGGAACTTTGGATAGCGCAGCTACAGGAGTTCTGGGTAATGAAAATACAAATGCTGTTATAGAAAGATGACTTCAGCAAACATTTTCATGTCTACATGAAATCAGAGGTAGAGGAACGATGTGGGATGCACGTGGCTTTGGGGGAAGGAAGGGTTAGTGGGGGAAAGAGGAGTCGGAGGTAAACTTCCCCAATATATACTTTTACATGGATATAACGTTGCTGAATAGAAGGATTTTTTCACCTGCTTTCTCAAATAACCTGTGAATTGTCTACATGAAAATATAGAATCTTGTGTAGTGAACTCTAACTTCTACATTGCCTGAGAAATTGATGGTTTTGTTTAGCTGAACTGAGGATTTTCCAGTAATAACTTTGATTTTTCCAAAGTAGTTGTTAGTAAAAATAATGCATTTCTGGGGTTTTGAGGGAGTCTTTTGGTGTTATAATATTTTCCAAATAAAAGATGAGCAAGACCAATTCAGCTGCTACTTTTTTGAGGATCAGCACAGGTATAGGACAAGGGGATCCTGCCTTGTAAAAAGAGTCATCAAAAAGATTCTATTAATCTTTGTAATGATTTATCAGAGTCCTTTTTTTTTAAGAACAGGATATGTCAATTGCTTGGGTTGAAAACTTAGCTGTGGGCCTGATAATTGGCCTGGATTATGTCCATATCACACATTGTTACTGATAGTTTTGTTGATGAGTAATACAGAAACTACAGTTTGCTTTAATCCTAGCTTTGTTCTACTTGACTAAAATAAAATGGCCAATAATTTTTTTGGTAGTGGAATAATTTTTTTGGTACTGAAAGACAATGGATGCAACTATGAATATGCACTGGGAATAGAGTGACTGAGCTTTGATGTAATGACCTCTCGGGAAGAGCTGTACTTCAAGGGAATGTTATTTGCTGAGACTGTTGCTCGTAGAGGCCCGTATGCTGGTAACTGTCTTTCTCTACTGCCTGTGCATTTTGTAAAATATAACCTTTGTGGGCTGGAAGTAAGCACTAGCTCTTCCTCCAGTTTCCTGAACTGTGAGGCCACTCACTGGAGAGTGGATTGCTGAAGTGGACATTTTTCCTTTACACAGGTGTTCCCATTGAGCATGCTACTACTCATTGTGCGAAGTCAACAGCATTGATCCAGAGGAAAAGAAAAAGCATTCATACCTTTTAATAGCTTCTCCTATGGCTTTCTGATATCCAGTAGTCTCCAGGGCTAGCCCCTGTGGCATGAGGAAAAAGTACATGAGCTTGGTGTGCTTGGTAAAGACAGAAGTGCATCACCTTAATATGCTATGGATCGATCCAAAAAGGCACAGGATGTTTTGTTTCACTTCTATACAAAACAGAAAAATCAATGGTAGCTAGATTGGAAAAGACAAAACTGGAGAGGGGTGGAAAGGGGAATGTACTCAGATTTCTTAGGTTTCAGATAAAGTAATGAGGAGAGAGGGGAGGACATAATAGAAACAAGCTGTTCAGAAAATGTGTGCTGCTGCTTAGCATGGGGTGGTAGGGCAGGAAGCTTTCTTTCCTCATGCACAATAGCATAATCAAAATATTTGGTAAAACTTCTGACTGCTCTGTCTTGATCTTTACTGCTGTTTCTGAAATGTTATGTATTGCTGTAGTTCGTGCAAATCTCCAATTTTGTTCATGGGAGTTGGTTAATACCAAATTTTGCTAGTGCGCAAAGTGTACCACAAAAAGCTGGGCAGTGCTTTTTACTGGAAGATACACCTGTATGTTACTTTTTCTACTTAAAGCAAGTATAGATGAGGAAGGACCTTGGGGACAGAGGTCAGTGATCTGTGGCAAAGATGAAGTTTTGAATGGCATGTGGTCACCTGCAGTGGTGTGGGGGGAGCCTGGAGTGACTGCCAGATCTGAGAGATGAGATCTTTTGTCTTTGCCCCTCTGTGGCTTCTGTTGTACTTGGAAGGTGGTGGGAGCTGGGAGTTAACTACCACTTCTTACTGTGAAGTCTTCCATTTTAGATAGCAAAAGCAAGAAATAGTAGGTCAAATCTTCATGAATTGTTTCTTTTAATATCAGTCCAGGACTGTGGCTCTAGTTTAGAAATGTTTCTTGTTGTGTAATTGGAATTGTAAATGTTTTCCTTGTTTTGATATAGCAATAAACTGTGTCTCCCTAGTAAAAGAAAAGGTGAAAAAACATCAAAATTTAGAGCTACTGGTGAAGTTGCTGAGGAGAACTGTGATTGTGTCTTTGGGAGCAAGCACATATCTGTAATGTGTGTGTTACCTTGTGAAAGGAAGACTGGAGAATATAGTATCCCAGACTGGGAGTCCTCTGCCCTAGGAAGATCTAAAACCATTTATAAAAAGGCAGAGGTAAGTGAGTGATGGTATCTCCTTTGAAACTGAAGTAGCTGTTATGTAAACAAAGTAGAAAATGCCATTCACGAAGCAGTTTAGAGACTGGCAAATTAGAAGTGTAAAACTCAAACCGTACCGTCTCTATAGTCTGGCAAGGTTAGTTGATATCTCCTCTCCGTAGTACACAGGCTACACAAGCTAATGGTTAACAAGGGAAATTGTTAGTGTCTTGTTCACAAAAGCATTCAGTGTCTTTAAAATTATTCCATTGAATCTCCTGACACTCCAGCAAATTTCAGCTCACCAGTTATGTTGAAGTGTCAGTGATGTCATCCTGTTGCAAGGAAAGTGCTTGACTGTAAAGTTTCATCTGTGTTTATCTCCTTTTCTCAGCCTTGTTGTTGCCCTTTACTAGCTGCTGAATATGGCAAGAGCAGACTGAACTAAAGGCGCACAAAAGTGCAAGCACAAGGACATATGAGTGTAGAAACCCTAAAGGGATAAGTAATTGGGAGTAAGAAAAAGTCTGAGTGTTAGAATAAAGATCTAGAAGCATTAGTATTACAGCACAAGTGGTTATAAAGGATAAATATGTCTAAGGATTTGTTATCTGGTTTGCTTCTAGTACTGGTTCCTGGTTGACAAAAAGCTCATTTCCTACAAGCTGCCTTAACCTCTGTAATTTATTATTAAAGTCAAGGGCATGAGCTCTTGTATATTCCATGTTTTGTATGTAAAAGTAATTTCCTTCTGAAAATCAGCAAAGGGGAAGGCAAACCTGTATTATCCTAATAGTAGAATAATTTCAGAAATCACTTCCTCATTTCTCATTAGTGCTATGTCTTTGTGTGTGAGGTAATGGAAAATTCTACATTGAATTACTAGCATGGTGATATGTTCTTACCAATGTATGCAGTGACAGTGTATCTGACTTTTCATTGTTTCCCATCTTCCTCCTTCTGTTGTCGTTATTTCTTCTGATTGCTGTATGTGGGAGAAATCAGTGGAAAAGGCAATTCAAGGAAAACATCTTGTGAAAGGCTTTAAAGTAAAATCTTTTTTCCTGTTGCTTATATGAAAAGCTGTCTGGTGCTTTGCAGAATACTGATTTAAGATCAAAAATAAGTGATCTGTGCATACACATTAGTAGGAGGATTTGATATAAAAGATCTTTGCTGGAAACAGTGGGACCTTATGACTATTTTGCTTTCTTGCTATGGTCCTGATAAACTATTTCATTATGCTATCTTGGCTGTGTTACTCTTGGCCACTAATAACCTTTAAATGGGCCGTTTGGTTGCGGTGAAGGCTAGGTTCATTACTAGTGAGCCAAAGCCTTCATCATACCAGAAACAGGGTTAATTGCACTATCCATTTCTTTGATTAAAAGATAAATAAATCTAGGAGTGGAATTAAAGCTTTTTAACAATAGGTGAAGCTTATTTATCTTGTGCTTTAGACTTTTTTCTTTTGCTAATTTCATGTTTGAATACTGGAGATATATGAAGAGGGTCAATGCTTATGTTAGCAGAGCATAAAAGACCATACTTCTGACTAGCATAATATTTAATAGTGATTGATGTTGAATAAGGGAATTGCAAAGCTGGATTTAAAGTAGAATGCTGTGACATTTCTCTCTTTATCTTTACAGTGGTTGGTATTGGAAAAGGAACAAAAATGCTGAGAGCTATATTGGCAGGTTCCAAGGTAAGAAATGCTAAACTTGTTGTATTGTTGAAAGAAAAAAACCCAGAGAGTTGTATCATCATACAAGTGTCTCAGAAATTGAACATAATTAGTTTAAATATATACGTTTAAACAGAAATTCGATATTAACATGTTGACATCCAGACTGTTCATTTAAAAAAATTGTTTCTCAAGATTCCTACTGAATGTTAATAAAGAACAAATTCCTGTTTTATAGGAAGATTTCTTTAACATTTCAGTGTTTACAATAAAAATGTAAAAATGGTCTTCATTCCTTTTCTTGCCTCTTAAATACCTTGATGTCTTATGAGTTACCTTTTAGAACACCTCATGTTTGAGATTGTAGAGCACCTGCCTAAGCGAGCCACAAATTGGAACAAAGGCATGGATAGGCACATGAAAGAAGCTGAAGTCTTGTGGCTGCATCAGATTATCCAGATTGGAGCCTTGATGGATAGGAATCTCATTCATTGCTGCTTTTGCCTAGTTGCACTACAGCTTTGACAGGTGAATGCACTCCAGATTGTAGGTACTGCATACACAAACAAGTGTGTGTGCTCCAAGAACAGTCTACCAGTGTTGATCCTTCCTCTGCAAGTAGAATCCTGCAGTTTTAGCCACTAATTTTAAATGAGAAGTTTAAGTAAGAATGGCAGGTGTAGGAATCAATTAAGCCTTCCAAATTTCATCTTATATTCAGAGAAAGTCAATACTGGACTCGCCAGGTTGACAGCTTTTTTAATGCATTTTATTCTACTTTTTCCTCATTTGTGTCTGATAAGAACCCTTAACCTATTTATAGGTGCTGAAGCAATAACTAGAGGTGGAATCTGATTGATAATCCTCAGTTTGACTCAAAGGAAAATAACGTGACAGGAAAGAATACCACCAGGAAAAAAAGCTGTAGCTGTAGGGTCTGATCCAAAGTTTATTGTAGTCAAGTGTCAGTCTCTTTACTGACTCTAGTGGGTTTGCATTTGATGTATAGGACCACATTTCAGAGATATTTGAGAGCTGAAACATGCAGTAAGCTGCTGGAGCTGGATTTACAGTGGAATTGTAAGGAGTTAAATGAGACATCTAAAATGTTCAGAAGGGGTTTTGAGGACCTGCATGTTGAATTTTTCTTGCAAGTCATAGGTTTCTATCTATGGAATCTCATAAGTATCTGCATTTCTCCTATTGACAATGGACAAAACAGATTAATTTTAATCTGTGATTATAATAGATGATTGCATAGGAAAACCAAATCCAATTTCAGTCTTTGAAAATTCAAGCAAAAATTAGCAATTCAGCTAAAGTCACCTCCAGCTTTTCCCATCTAGTCTGACCAGTGCACTCTCCTCCCTGTGTCGCTGGGAGTTAGGAGACCAGAGCCCAAAAGTATCCAGGAGGAGCATGATGCAGCATTGAATGTTGCTTTCTCAGCAGCTTCTCCTCACCCTGTGCTGCTGAACACTTGATGAATTTAAACAGTCTGTTTAACTGGCGCTTTGATTATCTCTTCAACAGTTGTGCACAGAAGCACTTTTAAGCGTGAAACCCTTGCTCTTTTCTGTTGAAGGTGTATCGCTCTGCATAGAATACTTCAATACCAATTGCATTCAGGAGTTTCACAGAAGTTTTCATATGTTCCTACCCTCCAACATGTCTGCCCTAACCACTGGGATGGAGAGTTCTTCTGTCCCTGGCTTAGTTGATATTTCCATATGTCACTCCTGTTGTATCCTCCGACTTTTTTCTTCATAAGACAGCTGCCTAAACCAGGCCAATACTCTCTCTGGGAGAAGACTATAGCTGAGTTCTGGGGGGAGAAAGGTGCTGTTCTCCAGTTCTAGAGGTGAAGTTCCCAGCCCTCATTAGGAAATGATTATTTTGGCATTTAGCTTCTGGAAGCTCTAACCTTTTACCACCTGACATCTCCCTTTTAAGACCTTTTCAGTAAAGGGAAGGCATTGAGCCTTAGCTAAATGTAGCAAAACATGTGAATTTTTTTTTTAAATGATTTAAACACCAAAAGCAATTCGGGTATCTTGTAGGCTGATGTTCACAGTAGAAACAGCTATGATGGGAGTAGTAGTTTCTACCCTTTTGGTAGAAGAGAGCATGCACAAGCTCCTTGGTGACTTTACCATAAAGTCCAGCAGCCAGTGGGAGTCATATCTGGTCAAACTTTGTGCCTAGATAGCTCAAGAAGGCTTACAGCTGCTGCTGGCTGCTGTGGGGCAGGGGAGGAGGACACAGGAGAAGTGGACAATGAGAGGGCAGTAGGTAAGCTACTCCAGCTAGATCAATCAGCTCCCAGTGATCTAAGATTGGTATAGGCTATGGGCCCATGATTCAATGAGGTGAGCAAAGGTACATCAGCTCTTCCACTGCAACTGTTTGTGTGCTCTGACCTTGCAGTGAATGCAAGGTAGCTTACACATCAGTGCCAGATGGCATGGCAGTCATGATCTTTCATTTGGAGCTTGTCTGTCTCTGCTTTCCTATTTTGTATTTATACTTTGATAAATTAGTCATGGTAACTTGAGAGGCTTAAATGAATTCAAGTGTCTGCCTTTGTTTTTGTTCTTTTGACCACACTGATGACAAAGCCTAGTAATGTAGTGAGAGATCTGGTATTGATAAGTCCATGACTGTCTAAATAGCACTGAATAGTTTTTTTACATCCCATGCTATGTGCTAGGAATTCAGACTCTTATCATCCACAATGGTAAAAAGAGAAGATAAAGTATACCCTAAAGAGTGCGATGGTTTTCCTGTGCTCTGTTAACTACTCTAAAGATTCAGCTGAACTGGCTGAGCTTCTCTGGTTAGAACCTGCTTTTTTGATTATGGGAACGTGTTTTGTAAAGAAGTAGTTCAGTCTATCATTGCTGGCAGCAGAGCTATGCTGAGTGGCCAAAACGTATGTTACTGCAGTAGATGCCATATGGCAGCTCTGTCAGATTGGACCGTTTCTGAATTTTTCCCAAACGTTGTGTGAAACTTTCCTCACACTGTGGCAGCTCTGAACATTATCACTTGATATGCAACTCATAAACATTTTACAGGAATGTTACTCCCTCATCGTAAGTCTAGTTCTCCACTGGTGCTCCATCGGTTTGACCTTCTTACGGATTAACTCAAAACAAATCGAATGTGTGGCCAAGGGCAGTACCTACTTAGTGTTCCAAATTTCTCATGGAATTCTTAATATTCATCCAGAAATAAAAATATGTGCAAGCTGGCTTAGGTTTTGTTTGTTTACTTTATTTTGTTTCAAATGCTCCAAGTGAGGGCGAGAATCCTGTTGGATGTGGAGCATTTAGTACATGCTCTGTAATAGAATCACTTTTCTTGCATTCTGAGATTTTGTGCTTGGAATTCTTGCATTGCATTACTTTGAGAGAAATTCTATTTTCTTGTGCTTGTGAAATAAAAGTAGTAGAGCAAACATTTCCTGCTTCACCATTAAAATGAGTATGATGGAGGCAGTCCAATTTTTATAATAAGTTGCTTCTGAAGGACTCAGACTAGTCCACTCACAAGCCTATCTGAAGCACAATGTGGAAGTGATGTTTTCGGGCAAACAGGTGAAAGGCTGTTAACTAGTAACACAGTTTCCAAAGGGGTAATCTTGTTTTCAAACCTCTCATCTTCAGTATGTGCTGTAATGTAGAAACTATGGAGGGAAAAGATCAGGGATTCATCAGAGAAGGAAGAAAAGGGCTAGGAGTAAGCAATGAAATTCTTCATTACTGTAATACTTTCCATCAGGAGGTGATGTCTTCCAACACATGCAGCCTTTACTTTTAGGTGGGATAGGACAGGGTAATTGAGATTTTCAGACTTTAGTTCCATGCTTAATTTGCAGTTTTTTAATGAAGTAAGATCTGGGTTCTCCCCAAGAGTTTCATTTGAGTCATTCAAGCGTGAATGAAGCTGGAACTCAGCCATCCATCAACCTGTGCTTGAAATCACTGGCTCCTGATGGGCTGCAAAGCTGGGCGTTTTGCTTTTATTTGAGGATGCAACTTCTTGTTATCGTCTGCTCTTAATCTGAAACCCCAGAAGCTCAGTGACTTATGGGGAATTGCCTGAGTACTTTGCATTAATTGCACAAACTTGGGCAGGGACTAGTTAAAATATTTGATCTCAGAAGTTGTGGCTTCTCCAGAGTAAGACACTGTCAGAAAAAAACACCACTGGATAGAGTAAAATCCAGAGTCCAAATCATCCTGAACACTAGGGAGAAAGACATCATAGGCAGCAAAAAAAAAAAATACAGCGTAAGTGTCCTGATATGTGATGACTCCGATTTATTAAAATTGGAAAAAACCTGAGTTCATGTGAATTCTGAATGGGAAAGGGATACCAGTTCACTGATTAGGTCTCAAAACCTACCAGTTACACTTGTATTGCATGAAAATAGGGTATGCTTCAGAAGTAATTGGTTCAACATCCCTTATAACATGAATTTCTAATAGACCTGTAAGTTACTTGTTGCAGCGTGATTCCAGAATGTGTATATTGCAAAATTATTTCTCTGCAGTGTTGGCACCAGCTGCTGCAGAAATAGATGACCAAAAAGAAGCTTGTTTCTTTACCCTCCTGAGATTATCTTATTGTCCTAAGAGATTGGCCTTTAGTTTATATCACTTAACTTCTCAAGCATACAGGTTGCTAGCTTTCTCCATGAACTCATTTTATGAATTCTAAGTCCTTAGCTTCCATCTTTTGGCAGTGCGTTCAATGAATTAATAATGCATTAAAAAGAACATCTACAAGTTCTTTTAAGGAGCAGAACCAGTGAAGCCTTTTTTCTGTGACTGTGTTTGCAGCTTGTTAAGCAGTATCTCGTGCGGACCAGTTGGTATTTATCTAGTCGTACAGCTGGGTTCCCTCTGAAGCCTTTTTCTTAGTGGAAGCTGTAATTGATTTATTTTCTCTCTCTCTCTTCGTTTCAGGAGGTTTGTAACAGCTCAGTATCTCTGAGAACTATCTTTCTCTCCCAA